CGATTTATCTGTAGATGGATTGTATTTATTATTTTACTTGATTGAAAATAAAATAGGTCTTTAAAATCCAAGTAAGAATTGGACGGAAAGCTGCATTAAATATTCAGTTTCGGAACAGGAATTATGTTTAATTTCAAATTGAATAAGCGTTCCCAAATTGTAATGAAATTACTGAATATATATAGGCTTATAAATAGAATTCAAACTTCTTGGGACGCATTAAGGCAGAAGCAATATGCAAATTTCCGTTCTCAATTTAATCGTTTTCACGAGAAATTCATTAATCTTCAGCATGAATGCCAAGACGCGCTAAATTCCATAGAGCGCGACAGGCACGACGGGTATGAAAATTTGGGTATAATAAGGAATATTCTCTAAAATCTTTCAAATTCAAGAGAATTCCTGGAATCTGCGGCGGCCACGAATTTAACAGCATTGGAACTTAAAATTTGTTATGAAAATTATAGAATAATGATAAATAGATAAATGTCATAACAAAATGAATGTATACAGTCTTACTCATCAAATTAGTCTTAGGCCAAATTAAAAAAATTATTATTTACGTTTTTACTGTCATCACATACAGAGTAAGAAATATACACTGACTTTCATCAACTAAATAATCACGATAAAACAATTTTTTCTCCTTAATGAGTTTCAAGTTGTTCACAATAATTATCGTATCCCAGGACATATTGTCTTATTGCCATGGAAGCTCTAATAGAACAAGGCGACCTCATGAATATTCGCCGCTTCCATGATTGATTGAGGCTAAGGTGTCTAGAGGAGAACTTGCTCTTGTCAGAGCAAAAAGAATTTCCTACTTTGGTCGAAGAATGAAGACGTTTCTAGGGAATTCTTGTGCAAGGCTTCGAAGGTTTATCGTCGAAAAACCGAGTTTTTGTTGTCCGAGAAAACCTTAGACTAAAAGTTTACGAGGTACCTTCAAGCGAAGCTGTTTGATGCATTGTCGTAGTTGCCCGAATTTTTTGAAAGAGGTTTGCCGGGGATGCTGTGTGGTTTGAAGGATATTAAATAACAACGTGGTTCAGTGAGCATCAATTTATATGAATCGTAATTACCCAACTCGGTTTACACTATCACCGTCTTAAAATTTCGAACTTTTGATGAACCTGCTTTCCGAAGCCTTTCATTTGAAATATGGTAAATTTTGTTGCTATTTTTTATTATCTATATTATTTATTAAGAGGCAATTTGCGTTTAAAGAGGAATTTTTCTTTCCTTACACTCTCTCTAGAATAATGAACTAGCCCTTGACCACGCTGAGATTAATTCGCTTAACTTTCTACGACTCGAACAAGTTTTTAAAGTGTCCTCAATAGTTTAGAAGCGGGAAAAGCAATCATTTTGCCTTACCAATTTACGCATTCAACTCAAATACTGCACATGGATAATTAATTCAAGTTAAAAAGAATATTAATTTACGAAAAACAATCCATTTCTATAAAAATAGCTGGAATAAATAAAAAACTAGCTTGGCCAAGCTCCACCTATTAGCGAAATTCATCATTGTTATATACGTGCCTGGAGAACAACTGCCTTAAGGGATTAATACTGCAACGTCTTAGCCCTTGTAACCTTGAGGTTACAGTCATATTATTGCATTAGGAATGTCATCTGTCGTACGATGGCATTTCAGTTCTTAGGCAGCGTGGATTAATTCATTTCTATTTATAAACAGATGTTATATGAGCACTACAAAGTTCCGTATGAATTTCCATGCATTTTATTTGACCAATAATTTATTTCTTCAATCATTTACAGCCCAACGTTTTGCCAAGAGCATTGGATACCAGATTAACATGGAGTCATTTTATCTCACGCAACAACGAGTTTCCTGCTCCATTATTGCGTTTCAGATGTTGCATTTATTGCGACATTGCAATGACCATGTCGCCCGCCCACGGCACGAGCTTCCTCTGATGAGACCGAGGATTTAGGCAACTTAATATGCTTTGGCGAGCCTCGGGGGGTGTTATGACTGCCCTACCCTGCTAATGATGGCTGGTAATGGGGCTTGTCCCATCCTGAGTCCCACGTTGCCGCTCCCTTGGACCTTTGAATCGCATAGGCATGTCCTGCCTAACTGCATTTTCTTTCGAATTATGATGCTCGGCTCTTTTAGGGAATTTTGGAATGTCATTTTAGGATTGATCTTAACAGTTGTGCAAAATATTGGCCCTACAGCTCTTATTCCATACATTGCCACCACTCCAAACAAACACCGAAATTTAAAACAATATGTCGTCTTTTCTATGTTTACATCATGATACGATAATTTATTTATGTAACTTAAAAAATGTAGGATATGAAGATCGAATCAATGAAATTTGTATGTTATTTGTGAAAATTTTGTGACATAGTTGATCAGATGGATGCTTTTCATTTTCTGCGTTGAGCTAAAGGTGATGAATTTTAAATATTATTCAATTGCAAGCCCTCGAAATGTATATTGGCTGGGATCTGAACATCAAATGCAAGCTATTGAGAAAGAATGGGCCACTTTACTTATACTGAATTCTAAAATTTATGCGGTTCAATTTTCTAATGCACTTGAATTTGTGTTAAATGTGTTGAATACGTAATGATATGTTCTTTAAACTTGTGTTGTGCCAGTCGGAGGAGCGAAACCCACGTGCTGTAAATAAAATGGATTGGCTGGAAGAAAAAAAAACATGAAACCCGTATCAGTTGAAATCCATCATTGAGATAAATGAAAGGGTTATATTGCCGAATAGTGATTATTTTTCTTACCCACAGAACGAGCAGAGAGCGAACCGATAGGCTAATTTTGAGCCCTTTAGCGTTGACAAACTGGGTCAGGATGACCCACCCACGTGCAGGAAGTGCATCACATTTGGACAAACTGGGTCAGGATAACCCACCCACGTGCAGGAAGTGCATCGCTGTTTGGACAAAGCCTCACTCATTTCTTTGAGCGCTTCAATACTATATTGCTTTGCATTAATTACAGGTCGACCACATACCGACTCACGCACGCTTAATTTCTAAATTAAGAAAAGTATTTATGGGTAGGTGACATTATAGTGTCCGCTGCCACAATTCTGATCTAGAAAGTTAAAAAATTACAAAGAAACATCAAATTCAAAATACTTTTTAACACTAGTTTATTCATACATAAATTGCACTTAATATCTCATCCGATTCAGTGTTCTCGGTATATGTAAATGCAATTCATCTCAGCAAGTCACATTCAGGAGACTAATAGTCATACAATTAACTAGTGTACAATCGATATTGTACTCTACTTGTCATACATGTGCATGTGGCCAAAAAATGTACGTGAATAAAATGTGTTACACTACTTCGCATTAATGTCAATATATTTTATTAATGTAGCGTTAGCAGTTAACTTCACATTAACGTGTAGTACACTAATTTACTGCACGTTGCAGTACAATACTGCTCGTTATTGACAATGTACTACACTAATGTACTGCACGAAGTAGCACAATACTGCTCGTTATTGACAATGTAGTACACTAATGTACTGCACGAAGTAGCACAATACTGCTCGTTATTGACAATGTAGTACACTAATGTACTGCACGAAGTAGCACAATACTGCTCGTTATTGACAATGTAGTACACTAATGTACTGCACGAAGTAGCACAATACTGCTCGTTATTGACAATGTAGTACACTAATGTACTGCACGAAGTAGCACAATACTGCTCGTTATTGACAATGTAGTACACTAATGTACTGCACGAAGTAGCACAATACTGCTCGTTATTGACAATGTAGTACACTAATGTACTGCACGAAGTAGCACAATACTGCTCGTTATTGACAATGTAGTACACTAATGTACTGCACGAAGTAGCACAATACTGCTCGTTATTGACAATGTAGTACACTAATGTACTGCACGAAGTAGCACAATACTGCTCGTTATTGACAATGTAGTACACTAATGTACTGCACGAAGTAGCACAATACTGCTCGTTATTGACAATGTAGTACACTAATGTACTGCACGAAGTAGCACAATACTGCTCGTTATTGACAATGTAGTACACTAATGTACTGCACGAAGTAGCACAATACTGCTCGTTATTGACAATGTAGTACACTAATGTACTGCACGAAGTAGCACAATACTGCTCGTTATTGACAATGTAGTACACTAATGTACTGCACGAAGTAGCACAATACTGCTCGTTATTGACAATGTAGTACACTAATGTACTGCACGAAGTAGCANATGCACTCCCCTCACTGTAGTGATGCACTCCCCTCACTGTAGTGATGCACTCCCCTCACTGTAGTGATGCACTCCCCTCACTGTAGTGATGATCTCCCCTCACTGTAGTGATGCACTCCCCTCACTGTAGTGATGCACTCTCCTCTCTGTATTCATCCACCATATCCACACATCTCCTGTTCCCTTGATCATTAACGTGTATTTATTCTGACATGCCTTATCATTATTAAGAAATTTGATTAAGAAGATGCATTTTCTCAAGGAATTATTTGTAAAAGCAATCAATGGGATTGTAATCTTCGATATTTTTCCACAGTGCTGCTGAAGATTCGTCTCCCCTCTTGGTTAAGTTTCAACAAGTTCCGGGGCCAGGCAGAACTGTCGAACCCTGCGCTCTGTCTTCGAAACTTCAATAATGAAGATGAAGAAGACCGAGAAAATCAGACTGAGTTCGGCGGCTTGAATATCAAAGAAAGTGTTTCTCCTCACAATGATGGAATACGGGCAGAAGATGGAGTTAAATTTGTATATGACTCCCGCCTCACAGGACACGAAGATGAATTGAAAGACGGTGGACCGACTGGATTAAATCCAAATGATTCTGCGATAAGGTTACCTGCTATTCAGAAGCTCACTGGGATTGCGAAGGCCATTCCAGGTATCCATTCCATCGGGCGATCTCCAGGCAAACACGGGAGATCTATTAAAGGTGGCCATATTTCTTGTGAGCCCAAGGCGAGTTCGGCAGCCGGTATAGATCGAGAGAAGGAGAAGCTACAGGATGATAAATCAGGCGCCAATGACACCGTCCTAGCGATGCTACTAAGCAGACCTGAGTCTGGGTCTTGCTTGGATTTTAGACCTGGTGATAAAACGACGTATCTTGTAGGCACCCTCAGCGGCCACGTCTTGTTGGTGAGTAGTTAGTGTTGCATGTGCTTGGAACATTTTTACGTGGTCTGTATTGTGAAGTTTATTTACCCCTTGTACACTCACTAACATTACGCCACAAATTATTATATAATATATGAAATACTAGATATCATTATAGTATACATGAATTATATTACAGCAAAAATTATAATGTACTTGCGCATGAATTACACACGCGCTTGGATGTGTGTAATTCGTGATTGGTCTACTACAAATTCCTTTTAATTTCAATAATCCATTTATATGGCTGATAATCTTCAATTATTCGATGACTCAAACAGATTCAGAATGCACTAAAAAAGCAAATTACACTTTTAAGTCGACTATTAAATTCATGTGTGTTAAGAAATTTTCAGGGCATGGCTTGCTAAACGGTCTTCAAGAAGCTGACAAAACTGAGCGCAGGTTCTTTAGTCTTAAATCGTAAATGAAAATCGTTATTCGTGAAGCTGATTGTATAAACTTCTACTTTAGCAACTGAGATTTCGTGGAATACGTTCACGAGCATGAAATAAGTCACACCTATATCCATGCAGGATAATAAATAAGTCATGTCAATATTCATACATACATGGTGTAAGTTTTGCTATTATTCATTCATGATGTGAGTCATGCCTACATCCATGCAGGATAATAATCATGTCAATATTCATACATGAGATAAATCATGCCAATATCCAAGTAGAATAATGTCATGTCAATATTCATATATGAGGCACGTCAAGCCATAATTCATTCAGGATAGTAAGTCATTCACCATACAAGATTTAAGTCATGTCTACGTACAAACATAATGTAAGTCATGCGTACGTACATATATGATGTAAGTCATGCCTATATCCATACTTCTTATTTAACCTCTTGGATTACATCAGGATCTTATTCAGCCTATAAACACCAGATTCAAGTAATACGTACGTTGTATTTTCTCTGAAAATCTCGCAAATAACATCAGTAAGCAGACCTAAAAATTCTAATTAGCTATCTTTGTGGAGCTCAAAACAAATTATTATAACCCAATAAATCATTAGGACCTTAATTAACCTAGTTTCCTATCACAAATGAGACGACCTCATACGAGTCAAATATATAGCGCTCGCTTGGTAAAAATATTATTAAATATTATATTATTAAATATACAGTGATTGCCTTATATTCGTTAAAATTAGCGGGCAATCAGTGCTTTTATAATGAAAATTGCCCTGTTAATACTAATTGTGCTTCTATTTAGGTTTAGGCAATGGGATTGAATGGATTTCATGAAGCTATAAGTAATTTTTTCCAGTTGAAAAAGCCATTATTAATGATTAATTGGCTGTTTTGAATTTCATAACAATAATAAAAAACGTTACAATGAGGCTTGGAAATCGTAGAGGCATAATATAAATTTTTATAAAACGTTCCAATGGTCACGCTATAGAACTATTAAAATAAATGAGAAAAAGATAGACATGGCCAAATTAACAGTGTTGTCGGAAATCAAAATAACGAGATTGCACGTCAATTTAATTCTGGAATCGCTGTTTTGAACGAGGTTTTTGTTGAGCTATCAACGTGAGAAAAACCCCGGAAAAATTTATAGTATTTACATATCTCCTGGTCGATAGGCGTATGTTCATTTAACTCCATAATTATCTGAACGACAATTTATATTTCAGTTATAGTCACTTGGGCAAAATTATTTCATTTTAATTCTTTAGTTTTACATTTATTGTTGTGTACTATTTACTCACCCGTTTTGAAAAATTATCTGCATTTTTAAACGCTTTACTCAGATTTTCAGAAAGCTTTCTTTGGGAACTTGATTTTTCTATTTTTAAATAAATAATGAGTTTATTTTAAAGCATGATTTTTCTGTATTTAAATAACTAAAACCTCAGTTAATTGCTTGAAGAAGCCGTTAATGTGTGGCCCGTATAGTGCAGGACGTATGAACGGGACCGTTGCGTGCAAGTGTACGTCGGCCACACGGCCCGTGTGACCCGTGTCGCGTGGCGGTCCTCTGGTGCAGCGCTGCGACGGGCAACTTCCCGCAGCCCGTCACGGGCAACGTCCACTTATGGTACGTCTGTCTACTTATGGTACGTCTCTCCACTTATGGTACGTCTGTCCACTTATGGTACGTCTGTCCACTTATGGTACGACTGTCCACTTATGGTACGTCTGTCCACTTATGGTACGTCTGTCCACTTATGGTTAGCCCGTCACGGGCAACGTCCACTTATGGTACGTCAGCCCGTCACGGGCAACGTCCACTTATGGTACGTCAGCCCGTCACGGGCAACGTCCACTTATGGTAAGTCTGATACTCGTTATTTAAACGTCACTTAAGATGTTTTCACTGCTGGGGACCGCTCCCTGCCTCTGTGCTGATGTTCTCGAGTTCGCAGTCATGCAGGTTCAGTTCATTTAGGCACACAGATTATTCACATGTATAATTGCTCAAACAGAACTGTACAATGCTTTGTATTTCTTAAAGGTCCTCGTCAGCTAGCAACCATCCAGGAAATAATGAAGACCTGAAGGGTGGAAGTCAATAAACGAAAAAAGAAAAATTGGTATTAATAAAACCTGATTTAAATTTGCCCTTTTCTCTAACATCAATTCTGTTAATCGTTTCCTGTTCGAATCCTTTTGAGACGCCAATCGACCTATAATTTAAGGACAATAAGGTTACTGATTTTAGGTCTATTGCTAGGACGTTAACGGCTGGGAAATCTGCCGACGACATGTCAACTGCGCTTATTTTAGGCTGACAAGCCGTCAACTCACATTACTTTTATCGAGTATATTTCTACTGACCATATATTTTTGGCAGCATGTCAACTGACAACACATCTGCCGATGATACGTCTCCCACTCGGATAATTAATTTTAGATCTTCAACTGTCGTTACATATAACATGATTCATTTACTGAAAGAATCTTCGCTGCACACACGAAGTACCTTCTAACGAAGGTCCACATTTGGCTGGTGCTGCTACTGATGACATTTAATACCTAAGAAGCTTGGGGTTGCGTCGTGCACATGACAAAATATTGAAGTTATTTTTGTAATAAACCTAGCATATTTATCTACCATTTAAGTAATTTGTTCCCATTTGAAGACAATGGAAGAATTTTCAATGTAAGAATCCAAAGACGGCATTTGCATTACAAACAATAACTATTACAAACAATAATATTACAACAATAAACAATAACCCCAGCAATTTTATCATGTATTTAAAATTTTCGATATGTTGATTGGATCCTATTTTAAAACCGTAACTTTCAGTGCCATTTTTTGAAATAATTCATACATGAACTGAAAATTTCCTACTTTTCCATAATTGTTACAGGGCGAACCCAGCAGTCCACTGACGCTGAAGAAGCAATACCTGGTAAACAAAACCCCACAAGAGACCAGTCTCCTGCTAGCCAATTAACAGAAACAATTGATGATGTTGCAGGAAGTTCTTCAATAAATGATAAAAACATAAAAGAAGAGAAGCAAGATGAAATCAAGAATAAATTTAATGAAGAGATAACTGAATCATCAGAACAAACACAAAAGTCAGAACAAATAGATGGACAAAATAACAAAATCGATGAAATTGGAAATGAAAACTCAAATGCAACACTATCCGAACCGACGAAGGGAAATCCGGAAATATCAGAAGCGGCTTACAACGCCGATTCAACTCCTCGCTCTGCATCTCCCAATCCTGTAATTTCCGTTTCCAGCAGCGGCAAAAATGAGAGGCTAAATCAACGTGTAGATTCCGTGGCCGAAAAAATCCTGCAGGATGATCCCTCGAAAATAGTGCGGAGTTCACGCGGCGATCATCGCAAAGAGCGGAGGGAGAAGCGCGCCGATGATGCGCCAACCATTTTCCTCTCGGCGGCGATGGACGAAACCATCCGCGTGTGGAGCATCGACAAGCCGGCGGCGCCTCTCGTCGTGCTGCGCGTGCCTAAGGTGAGGCGTCAGTTACAGGGGACCACAGGCGTCAGTTTTATGGACCACAGGCGTTAGTTTTATGGGACCACAGGCGTCAGTTTCATGGGACCACAGGCGTCAGTTTTATGGGACCATAGGTGCCACTTTTATGGTACCACAGGAGTCAGTTTCGTGGGACCACAGGCGTCAGTTTTATGGGACCACAGGCGTTAGTTTTATGGGACCACAATCGTGAGTTTTATGGGACCAGAGGAGTCACTTTTATGGTACCACAGGCGTCAGTTTTATGGGACCACAGGCGTTAGTTTTATGGGACCACAGGTGTCAGTTTTATGGTACCACAGGCGTCAGTTTTATGGGACCACAGGCGTCAGCTTTATGGGACCACAGGCGTCAGTTTTAGGAAAGGATCGGCGTCAGTTTTTGGGGTCTCAAAGGCGTCAGTTTCAGGGGAGAAAAGCGGTGGGTTATAAGGATGGATTAGCATCAATTTTAGGGAAACAGGCTTCAGTTTTAGGACAACTCAAGCGTCAAATCTTGGGGTCTCACAGCTGTAAATTTTAGGAATGGATTGGCGTGAGTTTAAAGGAAACACAAGCGTCAGGTTGAAGGACGGATTGCCTTTAGCTTTAGGGAAGGATTGGCGTCAGTGTCATGGAAACATAGGGGACAGTTTTAGGGATGAATTGGTGGCAGTTGTAGGAAAACACAAGCGCCAGTTTTATTGACAGAGTGGTGTTAATTTTAAGAAATCGCAAGCGTCAGTTTATGGGCCTTAAATTCATCACTTTTCGGAAACAGCTACTGAAAGGCGTCAGTTCTAGCGACTAGGGACTTGAAGGCGGCACTTCCAGGTACTTTATATTCCTAAAGAGTTAGGAAGATTAACATTCGGTGGCATCGATTTCAGGGACCAATAGGCGTAACTAATAAGAACGCATAAGATTTTTCGTGGTTTTGCATGAATGGTTTCCGAGTTGTGTGAATAATGAGATGGGGCAGATTGTTAACAAATCGAACAAATTTCCTAATTTTATCTGAGCCAGCAATTTTTTTTAGAGCTTATGATTTATCAATGAGCTTTGTACAAACGTTTTCTTGAACCTTTTATATATTGCGATTTTGCAAATTTTTTTTTCAAATCATATGATTTTTGAATAGGTTTGCCTCAATATTTTTCGAGTCTTAGAAATTCAAGGCTATTTTCATAAGCAAAATTTTTTCAAGCTGGTAAATTTTCAGATTTTATTGCTAATTTTACCTTGTTTAATGGTAATCTTAATGATCTTTCATGGTTCTCTTTTGTTGAAAAAGAGTAAACATTGGGTTGTTGGTAGGCTAGATTTGGTATTTCATAAAGGATTTTTTTTGAGTAGATATTTTTTCCTAGATGAGGTAAGCCTAAGACTTCCAAATGTAAGAATAATTCTCAAAAGAATTACATCATAAACCCGACATGATCACTGCGTGCTAATGTGCGATGATTTTATCTTACAAAGGAAAATTATTCGAGAATTCCATGACCTCATCACATCGGTGATATTATGAAAACTCAAAGAGTAGGTTGCATAATAGCAACCTAAGAAACGTCTTTTAGTATTCAATTAAATTAACAAATATTTTGACCTCGATGTAATCAAGTGAAATCTATAGTGAATGAATCAAATGATTGACCTACTTGGAGTCCACAGCTCATCAGAACAATTTATAATAATTCAGCATTTGATTCAAGGGAATGACTCGTTGCTTAGATAACAGTTTTAATGAATTCAGGATCACCTGAACAACTTCAAATTAGTTCCAAATTATAGTACTAAAAAGGAACTAGCAAGGAATGATATATTGTAACAATACTAAGGAATAATTGACTATCATTACGGTACCAAGTTTTTTTTCTGCTTCAAAGTGAAGAACAAAGGATCAATAACTTATTCGAAGAGAATGCAAAATAATTTTACCAATGATTGCGATGAAATCTGAATATTATATAATTCCTTACACGGTACTTTACAGTATATTACAGTATATAATGTGCGTTTGTGCAATGACTTCATTTATACCGTAATTCCTGCCTAATATCCAATTATTATCTCATTTTATACTGATTGCCTTGAAACCTGAATATTACACACTGTTCGAAAAATCATCGTAGATCGATCCTCTCGATACGCGAAGGGCACGCGAAAAACCCCAATCTACTGATTTCTCACCAAACACTAGAAGCCCGTACATCGTTTGAAAAAAACGGCGAAATGGTTTATTTTCACGGGCGGTTGTCACTACAACGCCGCTGAGACCGCTTTTTCACGGTTATTTCGAACAGTGTTTAATTCAGTCGCGCTCGGCAGGATGGCGGGGGCGGATACTGTGATGCTTGTTGGTGCTCGTGGTCCCAGCAGCTGGTGGCGGCCGCGAGAGGGACTGGGGTGGACGTATGGGACGTGTCCCTCTCCGCCCACTCGCCAGTCCTCTCTTACCCTCTTCTTGGGGCCACCACCGTCGCCTTCACTCCCACCACACGAGTCAGTGGGTTGAGAGGGGGCGAATGGGTGCTGGTGGTGTGACTTGAGTTGGCAGTGGGGATGAAGTGAAAAAGATGGGTGGTATTGGATTATTGGTTCCTTCAGTGGAAAAGGTTTTAGTGACTGGGGTGTACTGGGTTTGTGGGGTGGAAGGGAACGGTGGAGTGATTGTGGGTGGACTGCGTGAAGAGGTGAGTTGGGTGGGGCGGATGTTCAGAACTAGAGAAGCGTAACCAATGATCACGCTCTTTAGAGCCCTTGTAATACCAATTCTTGAATACTGCTGCCAGCTATGGACCCCGTTCACATTCGGCGCAGTGCGGCATCTGGAAGGTGTACAGCGAACCTTTACTTCCAAGATCAGTGGGATAGAAGAGTTGAACTACTGGGAGAGGTTAAGGTGCCTAGGTCTGTACTCACTGCAGAGGGGACGGGAGAGGTATGTCATTCTGTACATATGGAAGATGATAACCGGAATGGCGCCAAACTTCGAGAGCGAGACATTCAGGATTGAGACACATCACAACGAGAAAAGGGTGAGACTGTGCAAGATCTGCAACTACGTAACAGATCTGCACTCAGATTTCTATCCCTGCGGGAAGGATCACTTTCCGTGGCAAGGCCGAGGCTATTTAACGTCCTACCAAAGGATCTAAGAGAGGGGGAGTTCACCCTGGAGACCTTCAAGAGACGACTGGACGTGTTCCTGGGCACAATATCAGATCGACCTCCCCTGCAACACTACCAGCGGCGAGAAGCAAGCAACAGCATCGTGCATCAGGTGGCCCAAATGAGGGCGAATGAGCGATAATCAGAGGCGGTGATCTCTCGTGGCCTGGGAATGCTACGCTCGAAACAAATGCCAAGGATACCAAAGAGCTACTCATGGTGCAGCCTAATGAGTTCAGTATATTTGTAACTCATCTGAACTTGGACCTTATCGTCTTCTCACTCATTGATTTGGATGCAAAGTTGAAAGTTTGACAGAACTCTTGTGCGCCAGAGCAGTCGGAGATGCGATGGAAGATTGGGTTGCGAACCATATAGTGTTACTTGGTAAACCAGGATAGTGAGCGGTGAACCAAGAAATTCGGCTGTGAACCGGAAACTTGAGCAAGGCTTAGGACCGAACCTGGACATTGCATGAGTGGCTTGCGTAGCCCTAAGACGTGAACCAGGACTTACGGTAGTGATGCTGGACATTGAGCGGTGAACCCCGATACTGAGCGTTGAACCTAAGACATTGTGCGAAGAACCAGGAAAAAGATCGTGGTGAAGGAAGACATTGAACGGTGAACTAGGGCACTGGATGCTACACATTTGACATAGGGACATGAATTGTAACGCTAGTTAAGGAACCGAAAAATTTTGGACAAGAAATAAACTTTCGTGCAGTGAACCAGTATGCGTAATGGCCCCAACTTTTCCGGTTCACATTTATCTGGTTTTTCTTTCAATGAATCTTCCTTGATAGAAGGTGGAATGAATTCGAATTAATTTACTAGCACAGCCAAATTTTACTAAATTATTCGAGTCGTTCACTTCTATCGCACGAGTTTAAAAAGTAGCTTCTCTTTTTGGGTGATGAATAAGAGATTTATCTTTTAAGAGTTTAATGAAAAAAATTGTTTCGTGTGCGGCAGCTGCGCATTAATTCAGCTCCGAGTAATTAAAATTTCAGGAAAATACCTTAATTCCATTTTCAAAATGCATAAAAAACCTCAACGCTTCAAAATGTTCAAAGAGTTATAATTTTGTTCCTCGAATAACGTTCAAATTTCATCAGTTTGCCATCTCGTACTCATATACTGTTCTTTAACGGTATTCTTATCGTCAGGGGAACACTTATTGCAAACATTCTTGATTGCTATTTTCGTATTGAGTTTCAGCGAAAATCCTGAGCTTGGCATGGTTTTTCGATACGAGTTTTGAATGGTTTTGACCTTATAATTTTTATTTCAGTGCCTCAAACTAAACAAAATTTTGCGAATTTTTTTAAGTTTGTTCAGGGTAAAATAGCCGACTGCTGCAAACTATGGCTCATCACTAATTGCACAGTTACTTTTTATGGCGCAACTTTCGGGAGTTTTTACCCTTACCTGTTCTGCCGGCCGCTCGTTAAAGGCTTACGAAAGTTTCCGGAGCGGAGAGTCCGTACTTTTAGGTAAAATTTCTTGATAGGGAACAAAATCGCTCAAATTTACATAAAAATTAATAAAACAATTACCAAAATATGTATTAGTATTTCAATTTATGTGCAAAATTGTATAAATAAATAAGTATATGTATAAAAGAATGAAAAAATATGAAAACATCGAAATTGCGTAGCAGTATATGAAAAATGCAGCTATAAACTTTTTTCAAAAATGTAATGAATATGAAGTAAACTGGCGCAAAATTGATGCAATTTACAATTAGGAAAAGATTCCAAGTGTCGGTGGAGCAACCGCGATGTCTCAATAATTTGCTTAAATGTCTACACAAAAAATTTATTATTATTTTACCTGGGCTATACAGCGTTTTTCTCTACATTGTTTTATCAGGCTTCGTTTTCTCTCAGAATAATGTTACTAATGCTTAAATTATATTAAAATTTATTCTTTTTTTTATAAAAAGTACGAATAATATAGCTATATTGCTTATAAACTATGGGAATGGCGACTCTTAACAAACACACATATACCCAGATTTCAAAAATATAAAACATATTTATATTTTTTCTTATTATTCTTGATTTTAAATTGAACTTCATTCGAACAGTAGTAATTTTCTCTGTATCCCTTGTTCCGATATTCAGACAATCACGATGTGGTTCGGTCAATTGCAATTCACCGTTAAACTTTTCGACGCGAATCAATTCCGACAAAATTCAACACTGCGTGCTTTGTTACGATTATAGTTAAACTCAAGGACAGTGTAATTAATTTCGATAGTTTGTGCCATGTTGTTCATGAAATGAGCATTCGTCTTTATGTCACTAGATTTATTTAATCGCAAATTCACTGCATATATAAAAGCGAAGTAAACTCCACACTAATATACTTCTCTTTCGAAAACGTTTTCAATCAAGACATGTTGAATATATGTGGAGTTTTCTTCGCTTTTAAATTTTTAGCATTTGTTTTAAGCAGGAACTTTTAGCAGTCATTTGCTCGCAGCCTCGTTTTTCGTTCTTCACTGCTATTTTTTCTGTTCAAATCGAAAGGCAAAAATTTGCATCTGCCGCTGGATTGAGTTTACCTCCGAACCACTCTAGGTCGTTCTAGAGTCGCACCCAAAGCCATTTAAACTCCGACATTCAAATTTTAAAACGGCGCCTCTCTTTTCTCCGAGTCACTTTGGCAGGACAGCGAGTGACAATTTCCATGTCCTTTTACCGACCACTCACTTCCCCTCTGGCGGATAATGGACAGACGAAGAGGTTCTCATCTTTCAAATAATATAACGGACACATGAAGAGGTTCTGATCCCTCAAATAATATGATGGAGACATGAAGAGGTTCTCATCCCTCAAATAATATGACTGAGACACAAAGAAGTTCTGATCCCTCAAATAATATGATGGAGGTTCCAAGAGGTTCTGATCTCTCAATTAATATGACTGAGATATAAAGAGGTTCTGATCCCTCATATAATATGATGGAGACACAAAGAGGCTCTGATCCCTCATATAATATGAGAGGAACCTGAGAATTTTACGCGCCACTATCGCGAAGATTTTCCTGATAAGAGGTAAGGCTTTAGGATAAAAAGGCCGTCCGAGGCCGGATTTCAGGGTAAAAGGCGAGGTTTTTACGCAGGATTGCAAAGACTAAAGACAGGATTGATTCGGGTGAGAGGTCGCTTCAGCGAATAAAAATTGAACAGGAACATTTTTAAAATGGCAAAGCGCGAGAAACTGACACTATAAAGATTAAATATTTATTTACAGTCTATTACTGAGCGGAAACTTTGACTTAAGCCTAAATTGTGCCAAATTTTATAAAGTTCAGGTATTTTATTAAATCCGCACGGAAATTAATTTATTGAATAAACATGGTGTATGGTAGCAAAGCTCAACAATAAAATTAAAAAACTGGAGAGTTTTAGCCAAAATAAAATATGATATAAAAAAATGTAGATATAAAATTATTTGGGGTAAATCGAAGTAAAACGCTAGCCATTAAAAAAGTCAGTCTAACAACTTATTCTTTTTCGAAAATTTCTATTCATTCACTTTGTCCAAGCATATCAACACCATCAAGGAAGTACTACCTCGTTTGAAAAAAGCGCACAAATTTCCTGTACAAATTCCAAATATTTACTGACTATATCTCGACCGTGTCTGGCGATGCAAAAAATGCCACGGCACAACATCCATTTAATTTCTAGCGTCAATTTTCCGCTAAATAAAAGTGTGATTGACAGACATTGCGTCGCCTAAATAAATCCACATCGTTTTATGTTCAAGGACATTTTTCTTTTAAACGCATAATTTTTCGGCAGAAGTTCTGAAGTTGCTATTTGCATAGAACGCTTCAGGTTCTTGATGATCTCCTCGACTTGAAGTTTCTCGAAGAATGAAAATTTTAGTCGTGATTTACTTGCCTTGAAGTACAGTATAATGAATCACGGCCGAATAGGCGGTGGCCGCCTATAAAACTCGTATTATTCCGATATGTTTAACAGGATTTCTGCAGGGCAGCATGGGGGCTGAATGGAGTTTAGCTTAAGTTAATTATTGTTTTCGGTGAGAAAACACATAAACACATTTGAAAATATAATGGTTATACTTCAATATACTGTAATATTGAAGGGCTATTAATATTAGTGTAGTCTGAAATGAAACTGCAGACACTACGTGGACTATAGAACCGTAATGAAATGGAAATAAATTAAAAATTATTTCTTTTGAATAATTCTGTACAAATATTGGTAATTACAATGTTCGTCAAAAATTTATAAACGTTGAGTTAATAATGTAAAACAGTTAGCCGCATGACATGAATGGAATTTAATCTGAATTTACTGTTTTTGAGGGGATTTTAATCTCCATGCAGATTCTCAGTCATTTAAATGCAAGGAAATGAACTTACATTAATTAGACTTGCGCAGCTTTCAACTTTTAATATAAAAATGATCTTATATTATATAGCATAATATCAGAAACAAGATATAGATAAAAGATTGATTAAGATATTATATCTTGCTTAGGAAAGCCATACATTTAAAATCTATGATGTGTCAAAAAATGAGCAATTTTAAGTCGTTATCATTTGGAGCATCAAACTGGAATTATTCAAGTTAAATTGAAGCTTTCAAGTTCGATCGATTGCAGGAAAAAAATCGCATTTATATTACGCAATTGTTCCTTCAAGCAGATATCATAATAGCTTTTTTATTGACATATTCATTTTACTATGTATTAACGACGTCATTTGACTATTGTATTAATATAGGATAAAATTCATAGAATTGATGTCACTTATTTGCTTAAATCGCAAGTTAACCAAAAATTTAAAAGCAAGGATTAAACCACAAATGTTCATATCTTTATGGAAAACGTTTCGGAGTCCAGCTCCATCGTCAGTTCGTAGAATCTATAATTTACATAGAAAGTCACAAATTAGTACAATTGAAAGCACAAAAAAACACAATTAAAAACCTAAACTTACAAGTACCAGGGCACAAAACCTATCTATTCACAATTTCAAGAGGATAGGAGCTACCAGCTGAATTTAAACTGGGCCTAAGTTTAAAAATGTACAATGATTCTAAAATACGCAAATCTGAAGTACCGGAGGTGGAAGCTAACACTCTAAAGTCACTGTCAGAAACAGGGACACTCCCTGTTTCTGACAGTGACTTTAGAGTGTTAGCTTCCACCTCCGGTACTTCAGATTTGCGTATTTTAGAATCATTGTACATTTTTAAACTTAGGCCCAGTTTAAATTCAGCTGGTAGCTCCTATCCTCTTGAAATTGTGAATAGATAGGTTTTGTGCCCTGGTACTTGTAAGTTTAGGTTTTTAATTGTGTTTTTTTTTTTGTGCTTTCAATTGTACTAATTTGTGACTTTCTATGTAAATTATAGATTCTACGAACTGACGATGGAGCTGGACTCCGAAACGTTTTCCATAAAGATATGAACATTTGTGGTTTAATCCTTGCTTTTAAATTTTTGGTTAAAATTCATAGATTATTGTCCCTCAAGTAGTCTTCGGTGGATTATCGATGGCCGTCCCAAATTTGTGGAGAATTGCTAAATTCAACCATAATTTTTAAGTGAGTTGCTGGTCTTATCGTAATATTTTTGAAATAATATCTATATGTTGGTAAAATATTAAGCTCAGGTTAACAGAGTGCTTGGTCTTTGACACGAGTCTTGATGACCGAAACCCTGTTCAGCGGACCTGCCTTGCCAGGCGTGGCCAGCACAGACATCTGAACATGACATCTTCTGACGCGAGCAGCAGCAGCAGCAGCAGCAGCAGCAGCAGCAGCAGAACCTATAGCAGCAGCAGCAGCAGCAGCAGCAACAACAGTACTTGTAGCAGTTATTACTGATGTTTAAAAGTTATATGTTACTCTCAAGCACATTTCCAGTAAGTTGTTCCAGATGAGCGTATTTTCGGACAAATTCCGTGATATGGTTTTTATTTCAGTTGCGTTGGCCGGCAGAAAAATTATGGTGGCGGTACTTACTGTATTTTACTAAGTATAAATTAGGTCAAATTGAATTTTTTGGCAGCGCCACCTACAAATTTATTGGCAAAAAGAAAATTGTGGGCCTTATTTGGCATTTTTTTGATCGAGTGCTGGCCGTTCTCTAGGCACCTGTCAACCCTGCTTCAACTCTATGCAGCCCGCTTATTTTATTCAAATTATAGAGTCGCGAACTCTCATGTTTTTACTAGAACCATAACCTTGCGTTGGGTGAAGTATGTTCAGCTGAAAATAATTGGTCTGTACTTTGTTAACTATAAGAAAGGTCTGTAGTAGTCTGTACACATCAGAGGTCTGCTCTTCTTACACTAAAAGAAAATTTGCAATTTTCCAAGCGGGGCAATGGTCTATAGAATATATAATGCAGTTATGGTTCATAGTCGTCAAAATGAAGGAGAAGTCTATACATTACACACTCTAGGGAGAGTTTACAATCATTAAAGCTGGAGCAGAGGTCTGTAGACAACACACAGCAGTGATGATCTAAAGTCTTCAAAATGAAGGAGAGGTCTGTACATTACAATATCTAGGGAGAGTCTACAGTCCTAAAGTTGGAGTAGAGGTCTGTAGGTAACACACAGCAGTGATGGTCTAAAGTCTTCACCCTCCATCGAGGTCTGTAATTCACTCGCCCCAGACACTGTCTAAAGTCTGCCCCGTCACATGAGACCTTCACATTGAAGAAATTATTGCGTTATCATAGTTCGCTTGCTGGGTGACTAAATAGTTTTGCTGCAGCAAATATAACTATTTGTTGATAATAATAACTATTATATAGTTATGATAATATAATATGATAATGTTATAATATTGTTGATAATATAACTATTATATTATAATAATATAGCAACACCGATACCATTACATGGCCCAGGTTCTTGCCCTGTTGGCTTTCTATTACAAGAGAGCGGGCATTAACATGAGATCCGTGCATTAAGAGCTAAAATGTCCGCATTAAGACCCGCGGTCTTGAATAATGCAATAATGGAACTCTATAATTATACGCTAATGGGGTCGCCCATTGAGCAGCCAACGCTTTTAATGGAAGTCTCGGTTGTCTGCGGCACTTGACATCTGAACCTCAAATTGGTTTTTAGTTGCGTTGAATAATTTCTATGTTGTCATTAGCTTGGTGCCAGCGTCCAAATTATCGAAATATTACGGATTTTTAAAAGGCTTATTCAAGGTAAAATAATTTGACGCGAGAGTAAATATTCTCAATACTTACCTTCAATTTGAAAGGGAATTTTGCTTGCAGAGATAAAGGAAAATATGTTTCTATACCGGATGAATGTATTTGTCTAATAAATAGTGATTTTTTCGTCCTCATCATATAAAACCTGCTTCCGTATGTGCATCCAGATTTTTTTAATCTGAATAGAAGTTCTTATGATATTTTACTTTGTCATAATTCCTGCCCTAAGATCTTTAAATTAATTTAAACATCAAATCAATTTAAACACTGCCCACACTTACAAACTTATATGTTTCTAGAGGATTGATTGAACAAGCGAGGCTCCCTCGTGTTAATTAAAACTATTGCGTCTTCTTAATAAATAAAAGAAAAGTTTTTTGCATATTAATGAACTTGAAATTAGTTTTTCCGACAGAGGGGGAATTCACGTACGAAGTTCTTAGGAGGAATTAATAGTAAGTTTAATGACATGAAGTCTTTAGAATTTTTTGAGTGCATGAATTTAAGTTTAAACGCGAGTGGTAGTTTTGGTTATTACTGAGCAGATTGAAAATATTACGCTGGAACACGGCACAGCTCATGTATAATCCATTGTAATTTTTTAGCAATGTAAACATTTAATATAATAACATATTTAACTGAAATCCATTCTCTATTCTGAAATCCAAGAGCCACGTAAAATACCAGCTTCAACGCGGTGAATAGAACTGATTTCACTTCTTCCACAAAATATATCGCTTTTCAACGACTACATTATATCATTAATAAGATTGCAAAAGAATATGCTATAAGTCATATAATCTCATGGAAGACACATAAATTTTGAGTAGGTCAAAGGAACTAAATTAAGATAACATTGAGGTCCAGTTCTGAAAAGTCTGAATGACTATTAATTTTGTATTATAAATCAGGGTAACCATGGCCTGAAAAACGGCCACCTTTGTGGACAAAAAAGGCCTTTTACTCAACATATACTGATATATTTGTAGGTTTCGGTATGAAAATTCCATTTTCATTGTTTTCACACGTTCTAAAATTTAATAAGTAAGTACTGCCATTAAATTTTTGCCAGCTAACGCAATTGAAAAAATAACTAAATCGCGGATTTTGTCCGGAAAAAAGACCATTTGGCAACCCTTTTATACATAAATGTACGAAATAATAAACAGAAATTATCTGTGACTTTGAGTCCTAATGGCGTTGCTTCGAAGTCTCGTAAATACTTTGATCACCAAAGAATGTTATCTAATTAGCATGATACTTCCTCATAGGATGAATTCACATAATCCTTTTTAGGCACGTTAGGATGCATATTAACTTGTAGGACACCTGAGAAACATAATACTTCTTTGAGGATTAATGATAAACATACACAACACTTCCTTAATTAAGGACGAAGGATGAATATGCACAGTCCTTCCTTAAGGACAAATTACAAACATACGCAATCAATCCTTAAGGACAAAGTATAAACATACACAATCCTTCCTTAACGAATAGGGATGAATATCCACAATCCTTCCATAAAGACTAGGAATAAACATGCCCAGTCCTTCCTTAGCGAATGGGGATGAATATACGCAGTCCTTCCTTAAAGACTAGGAATAAACATGCCCAGTCCTTCCTTAACGAATAGGGATGAATATACACAATCCTTCCTTAACGAATAGGGATGAATATACACAATCCTTCCTTAACGAATAGGGATGAATATACACAATCCTTCCTTAACGAATAGGGATGAATATACACAATCCTTCCTTAAAGACTGGAATAAACATGCCCAGTCCTTCCTTAAGCACGAAGGATGCATAATAATGCAGTGTATTCACCATCACAGAACCTGGTGGTGGGGGACAGTGCAGGCAACGTGCACGTGCTGCACGTACACGGGCTGGACGTCAGCCAGGCAACCTTCTACAAGTACTCTGCTGCCTTCACTAAACTTGCAGCACTCACCAGTGCTTCTTAACTATAGTTAACCCTCTGGATGTTATTTAAATAGCGTTATTGTTATTTTTAGCATTGCACTGTGAATGGATATTGCCTTGTAGACGTTGAAGGAATTTTGGATGATTTGGGTTGTTAAAAGAATGTTATTGTGGCGTTGATGAATAGAAGGTATTTGGAAGTACAGTTTAATTTTTTGTAATAATATTAATAATAATAATAATAATAATAATAAAAATAATAATAATAATAAAATAATAATAATAATAACAATAAAAATATTAATAAAACCTCGACGAAAATGAATGCTATTATTTCGAATAAAAATTTGAAGGGTGTTGTTTTTAGCTTAACTTTGTTCTTTTAAAAATAGTTTGGTCTAAATTCACTGAAGAATCGTATTCTTATCTGCAATTGTTAGAGCCCCTAAAATTAAAAGAAAACTCGCTACAAGAAAAGCCCGTACAGCTGAACTAATTAACAATCTAACTTGCATCGTGGCCGAAATAAAAATCTATCTGAGTTCCTTTCAATATATATATATTAAATAGAGTATAATTAGATTAACAAGCAGACGTTTGATGAGCTTTCTTGTTAACTGCTCCACTATATTTTATCCTACATATGTAAATGATGACGAAACGTAAAAAAATAAAATTAAATAAGAAAGTCAATCACTAAAAGTTTCATGTGGAAAAATAAGAAGAATAAATTTGATTTGATGAGTCATACAATAATTTTCTTCCAAATAGTTTTTCCACGCAGGAGTTGGAAGAGCATCCCAAAGACAGCGTCTCACTGGCAATTGGTACCAAGAAATTTCTTAATTACTTCTGATAGTACTAATTACTTTTGAAAAGTAATAAACGGGAGCGAGAGAAACACTGATTAGTTAAAATCACTTGATTATTTCTTTTGGTCATTAGCTTTCTTTAGTGGCAACGAAGCAAAAAATGGTGTTAGTTGCTCAGTGCAAGATACGCTTGATACAAACCACTGAAGTTCTGAAGGTCGAATCACAACTTTCTGTTTAAATGAATCTTCACCCATAGGTTTAGGTGAAATTTCAAAACTGGTGTTTCCTCATAGTTTTTCTAAGGTCTTCGGACCAAAAAGTTTTTTTGAAACGTTGAAAATACAAAAACAAGCAACTAAATATTTTAATTCAAAATTTGGAAGAAAGATATTGCTAAATGATTTCATATCAGAGTAATTATGAACAATAGGTTGAAACACGTTGGCTTGCTGAAACATTTCGCTGCTAAATAAGGCACACATATGAACTGCGAGTGCGAAATGCATTATCAAGCAAGCTTCGGTACAAAATAAAACTGGTTACTAAAGGTTCAAACGGGAACGTTATGCGGAAATTGTATAAAATCGCGATTACAATTAATCTTAAATTTCTCTGCCTAACATTTTTCTTTGAACTGAATGAAAATAGTTACAGTTAGACACATTTTAAGAGGTAGTCTTTAAATTATTTGGTTCTTGTTTTTGAACAATGTGTGGGTCATTAAGCAGAATAGTATTAAATTTTCTGCCTAAATTAAAAGCTTAAATCAAATCTGTCATAATAACGTGCATGAAGATGAGGAATTCTTGAGGTCGCGAGTACATTCATGACGTTATATGAAAAACCAAGACACGTCATATACATGTAGTGCCGAAATCGCGGAATTGCCGATTCTGTGGAATCGGCAGCCAGCTTGCCGAATCTGTAGAATGAGCATTTCGTTTCTGATTCAGAGATTAGGACATTAGAGTTAGAGCTAGAACATAAATCGACGGTTAGAGTTAGCAAAGGTTTGGTCAAGTTCGGTGAAGTTCCTTCATATTTAAATATTTAGAAAAAAAAATTGGCTGACTGTCCTAACCCTAAATTTCTAAAGTAAAAAATGCTGATTCTACAGATTCGGCAAACTGGCTGCAGATTCCATGGAATCGGCAATTCCGCGATTTCGGCACGACATGTATATCGATGTTTCCAAAATTACAAAAGAACTGCCGTGATGTAGTATGGATGTTCATGAAGTGAAATGCACGTCAACGACATCAAAAGAAGTTTAAGGCCTTGACATGAACGTTGACGACGTCATAACGACGTTTATGACGTTATAACTTCACTCATCACGACGGCCTTCATTGGAGTTCGTAATCTGCCCCACTCACGAGACCTTGGCTTCATATTGCCTCACAACGAAACTTGATATTTGTTCTCTTGATAACCTCACATTTATCCTCAGAACAATTAAATGAAATATTTTAAGAATTGAACGAAAGTTCTACAGCTCTGTGAAAATTTATCTGAATCGTTTTCCGTTGTAAATTTGCTACTATTTCCCTCGGGTATAAAGCCGTATTATATTGTTCTCCTAACGTCAATTATAAAGAAACGCCACAGCAGGTAACTTGCCATGTTTCACTTTTAAAGTGATGCTGTAGAGGTCAGAGAGGCTCTCAGCTGTTTTTGAATTCAAGAAAAAATCTTCTAACTTTTCAAATCAGTTTAAATGAAAAAGGTTTCGCTAGAAAGTATTGACTTTGATTCATGGGCGTTCAATGAGCCGTGGATGACAGCTGTTGAATGAATAACATTTTCGAGTAATGTAATGAATAGCATTTTCTAGAAGTGCAACGTTTTCAATGTGTTGAGCATTATTAACTACGCATAATCTTAATAAAAGTGCACTGTCAGCCTCACAACCAAGAGCAGCTGGAGTCCCGCCACCAAGAGCAGCTGGAGTCCCGCCACCAAGAACAGCAGGAGACCCGCCACCAAGAGCAGCTGGAGACCTGCCACCAAGAGCAGCTGGAGACCCGCCACCAAGAGCAGCTGGAGACCCGCCACCAAGAGCAGCTGGTACCAAAAGATGCTGGAGACCTGCGGCCAAAAGCAGCTGGAGACCCACTACCAAGAGCAGCTGGAGACCTGCGACCAAGAGCAGCTGGAGACCTGCCACTAAGAGCAGCTGGAGACCTGCCACCAAGAGCAGCTGGTGACCTGCGACCAAGAGCAGCTGGAGACCTGCGACCAAGAGCAGCTGGAGACCCGTCACCAAGAGCAGCTGGAGACCCGCCACCAAGAGTAGCTGGAGACCCGCCACCAAGAGCAGCTGGAGACCCGCCACCAAGAGCAGAAGGAGACCCGCCACTAAGAGCAGCTGGAGACCTGCGACCAAGAGCAGCTGGAGCAGCTGGAGACCCGCCACCAAGAGCAGCTGGAGAACCACCACCAAGAGCAGCTGGAGACCCGCCACCAAGAGCAGCAGGAGACCCGCCACTAAGAGCAGCTGGAGACCTGCGACCAAAAGCAGTTGGAGCAGCTGGAGACCTGCCACCAAGAGCAGCTGGAGACCCGCCACCAAGAGCAGCTGGAGACCCGCCACCATGAGCAGCAGGAGACCCACCACCAAGAGCAGCAGGAGACCCGCCACCAAGAGCAGCTGGAGACCCACCACCAAGAGCAGCTGGAGACCTGCCACCATGAGCAGCTGGAGACCCGCCACCAAGAGCAGTTTCGGCTTAATGCGTAACGGCCAAGCAGTCCCACGAAGTGGCCATCTTTGAAACGCCGATAAATCCCGCAGCAGTCGTGGGAATTCGTGCTGGTCGCCAGCCTGCGCCTTCATTAGCGCAGACAAACACTCCAAGTTGGACGCATGCGCAGGATAGCGGACGTGTGGCGCAGGATCCCTAGTAACAATTTTCAAAGGGGCCCATGTTGGTCCCAAGTGGCATGACAATATGGGCCACATGTGAAAATGCCATATGGCAGCCCCATGGTTTTTGTGAAAATTCTGCCCAGCTAGGCCACGTAGAAATCACATGATTTCTACATAGGGCCAATATACCTCATACATGGTAAAACCATGTGCTTGTCATATTGTGGCTACATGATCAGTGTTGAATTGGCCCAACATGGTTCAATTCATGGGCCTATATTTCCACCATACATCAGGTCCATCTCCCTCTAAGGTTGCCGTCATATGGCAGCTGCATGCTGGGTCCAGTAGGTTTCTCGCAAGGGCCCACACGTCAATCACATGGGCTCGCCATGTAAACACTACATGTTTTAAGCAATGCGATTCTTTCTAGGTCTTGCCGTACGTCTCCCATCAAAAGCCCACATGTACAGCACATATGAGCAAACCATGCACATTTTGAAGTCTTCTATATAATCTATAATTTAAAAGTGCAGATACATGTTCTTTACCAACAACTAACTCAACAGCAGTTAAAACTATTTTAATCAAGATAACCACCATTTGAATTACAAAGATTATGACGGAAAAGTTTCAATGGTAACCTGGAAATACTGTTTAGTAAATTAATTTAGTTTTTTTAAATAGGCATATATTTATAAAGGTACATGATGTCTTTCATACAGAATTCAAACTGCGAATAATAGCAAGAAGAACCGATCAAATCAGTGAGACTTCTATAA